AATGTTGCAAATTAGCATTTCACTTAGACTTATACCAGCAATAGGGGATGAGTGACATTAATATTTGAAAATTCTGTGCTAAATCTAATTTTCACGTTTGCATGCCAAAGCTTAGCATGTACTAAGGCACTTAAAACTGACATATAGATGTTGTAGTTACAATTTAAACATGTGGCATGTCTCAGCATTTTATGTCTCTGAAATATAAATATTACAGGGTTAAAAGCAATGAGTTGTAAGCATGATGGTATGGCTTTTTCTGAATAATTAGTACGTGACAGGACAAAACAAGAGCATCTCCCAAACTATGATTATGGTCCGTCAGCACTTGAAAAACAATTGGTTTGGTAATTATAATTTTTTGCCTCAAATTTTAGTGGCAGATCATAGGCAGAGCGGAGCGTGTCCAGATTACGGTCTCATCTCCGAGTATGTAGTCCTAAAGATGGTGTGAGGGCAGGACCTAGGTGGTTCAACAGCAATCAGCTGAAGTGGCACAGTAATGCCCTACCATACTCATTAGGTTCCAAAAGGGCTGAAAACAGTAGGCTTTGATTAATCAGTTTTATGTGCTATATGAAATTTGTAGGTGATGAATCCCCACGGAAATGTTTAAAGGAAAAGTCTTAGATTAAGTCTCCATTTATAAGCTCTGAAAAAAGCCAGGGAATGCACTTCTGGACACCATCGGTCCAGTATATTTGCATCCATGTCCAAGGTAATTTACCAGGGAATTTGCAGTCCTTGTTTTGCTGGCTGTTAGAAGATTTATCATATGTAAGTCATAATACTACATAATGCATCAAATTAATAAAACAATTGGTTTTTAGCAAACCAAAAGGATAGCAGCTCAGACCTTTTTCCCCTCTCAGCTTGGGCTGCCTATAAGAAAACATTTCAGAACACTGTGATTTTTACAAAGACAACTGAGGTAAATACCTCTAAGCTCAATCTAAAGAGTGTTTTTTCATGAACCAACTGTAATGAATGTGACTCAAGTTACAGAACTAGTTGCAAGCAGATCTGCAATGGAAAACATATGGCAGATTGCACATGTGAAGGATCCCAGCAGGCAGTAACTGCTGGGCTGTAAGCTGTGGGGGGGACAATTCTGTGTCGTGGTGAATTGTCCATGGTAAAGTACCATAGTTCAATCCATTAAAAGTACTGAAAGAACAAAAAGATCCTCAAGGTATCTGAGTTCAGGAAACATTTGCACAGCGCCCTCAGGCACATGGCGTGACTCTTGGATGTCCTGCACAAGGCCAGGAGCTGACCTGGATGACTGGAACGGGTCCCTTCCAGCTCAGTGTATTCTGATTCTCTGTGCCCTGTACTCCCCTGCAGTAAATCAGCTATCCTCATTTCCTTACTTGGGGAAGGAGCCCCATAATTAGCCAAGGCAGCCAATGAGAGTGGGCTGGCAATCAGAAGGCAGAATAACTTCTGGGGGAGTTTTGAGAGCAACTTTGAAACAAATTTTATAGCTCAATACAAATCTGGTGAAGGAAAAAGATGTGGCTTTGTTTCTAGAAGCAAGAAAAAAAGCTGGCAGTAGCATTTTGTGTCCTCTGAGAGATCCGTGTTACTGTCTCACTTCAGCAGTTTCCTCCAGACAGGTGTGTACTCACACAGTAGAAATTTCAGCAGAAGTTAGGCCTTCTCTTTCATTTGAAATTGGTATTCCCAGATCAGATAAGACAAGACTACAGACAAGAAAAATGAAATGCTACAGAGAACTCTGGAATTTCTTACCTACACTGCCAAGTCCAAGTGAGGGGTTTTTGATAAGGAAATTGAAATCTCTGAAACAAGTAAACAGACAGTAGAACAGAAGCAGGACTCGAGAGAGGAACCCCAGGACATTTGAAAATAATTGGTGTTTTTCACATAACACACAGTAACATTCAAGGCAGCAAAACAATCATTAAACACAAAAGCAGCAACACAGAGCACAGGCATCTAATCCTCTGGTAGGATTTTTGGGGGGAGATGGGAGGAAACAGGAATGGAAAGTACAAGAGAGGTTTTATCAGTGGCCTGCCTGCTGCTACATGTGACCTGTGACATTCATTAAATCAATCATATAAAACGTTAATTTTCATTAAAAATGTCAATTGTTAGGCTATCTCCCTATCTCTTCCATTAAGAATTATGCATTATTTGTTATAAGTAGTTTGCTTATGCAATATAGAAGACATGGATCAAATAAATACCCTAGGCAAAACATTTCTTAGTACTAGTATTTTTGAATCAAAGGTTTAATTAGGGTTTGGATTAAAATCTGACTCCTCTGAAAACTATGGAAGAACTTTACGCAAGAGTGCAAATAACATGTAACAAAACCATTCTCTTCCCTGCCATATACCCACAGGAAGAAGTCTTTCCATAAATGAAATAAACAATACTCTGGGGATACTCAGGAATTCTTATAGTGGTTAGTTTTTAACATGATACAATAAAGCATTGTATAGGGACAATATTCTTGCAGAGTCAATGGACATGAAAGTAAAAAGGGCTGAGTCAGGGAGAGGCAGATTTAACTATACAAGAGGTACATTTTAAAACTCTTGGTTATCTGGGTTATGCTGTACCTTCCTGATGCAAAACATCCGATTTACTGGACCCTCACTTCAACAGAACTAGAAATTTTTGGTTACCAGGGTAACAAAACTCTATATGCTGGCCTTTGTAAGTGTATGATCAAAGGGACTATCCCATTTCCACCCACTGTGTGCAGGCTGCCAATTTAAATATTTACTACCCCTTGAAGTGGCCAGCAAGGAACACAGCAGCAGAGAGGGGTATGAACCATGTATGTACTGCCTCTGACCTGGGACATGTTCTGTTTTCTGGAAAATGCATAAGAGAAATTTGAAGTGAATGTGCTGTGGCTAGATTAGTAGAGTAATTTACTATGTGTTCTAAAAAACAAACATAAAAAAACCCCAACCCAACCAAAAAGCCACTACACTGCAGTAAGAACATTGTTCAGTAACGTCTCAGAGAACTGTCCTTGCTATCAGCATAGCATTTGAGCTGTATTGTTTCATTACAGAATAGGAATTCATTAAGGCATTAATTTCCTTTCAAATGCTGTTGTTCTATTATGCTCTTGTTCTAAATATGTATTCATTATCCTTTTCAACTAGGATTAACATAACAAACTCACAAATGCCTCAATTTCCTCACCTAGTCTAGCTTAGTACTGAGAATAAGTTAGTTTCTCCTATGGTAAATACACAGATGTATTTATATTTGCTCCCAGCATTCTGTTCTCAGGATTCAAGGTATCAGTTTCTCTTCATCTTTCCAAGTCCATGCTGATTTTTGCTGCTGCTTTTGGTTTCTGTCCAATTTGTTAATATCCTCGTCATAGCACAGTGTCCAAAACTCAACAGTAACCCAGCTGTGGCCTCACAACGCCTGGACATTTATTGTAGCAATGTAATTTCTGTGCAATTTTTTTCTAATTGTAGCTCTCTTGCTAGGAGATTCACATTCAGTTTAGAAACATCTCAAATCATGCAATTAAACTTTAAAGGAATCTTAGTACTTGGCTTTTACCTATGGTTATGAGATTCTCAGAACTACAGGTGAGAGAAGCAGAAAACTCAGTGGCAACCACTGCTCACCTCTAGTGTTTTAGTGTTTTCTTGCTGTTTTCCTTAATTTTTTCCTTTTTTTCTTTCCTCTGGTGAGAGCCCATTGTATTTAACATTTACCTTCTGGCTTTCTTCTTTTGTAGAGAGCTAGAGAAAGTACTTCATAAGCATATGCTTGTTCAAACACACTTTTCCTTTTATCCCTCCCTTGGAAAAAAGTTCTCCATGTTTTAAATAGCTATCTGGAAGAAGTAATACCAATGTGTTCTTCCAGCTCATTATGGAATACACTGAGCTTAGAAGCGTTCCTTACAAATTTTATTTACCCTTAATGTTTTGGTAAAAACGTCATTAGCAACGCTTTTGCCTCTTTGGCTATTAAATTTATGCAGTGGTTAATTGTTGCAGTGCCTGTTGCAAGGAGCTGCTTAGGGCTGTTAGCAGGAAAGCCTAAAGAGCTGGAGTTGCTTAGAAAGTTCACAATAGATAGCTGACATATTTTCGCTTGCTGTCAGCTCGTGCTCTCATAAGACCATAGACAGCACGAGTGAACGTAGGAGGAAACAATACATCTGCAGACACTGGCAGACAGCACTGCTTGCCAAATTTGGCCACAGTTCCTTTAGATAAATAATTTCTCAGTGACGTGCTGTGTTGAAATTATATAAACAGCAAAAATTACTAAGACCTGGGCCCCAGGGCCTTGTGGGTTTCAAGATTTTCTGCAATCAATATTCTGACATCTGCAAATATTTTTCCCTTACAGCTGATGCCAGGAATGGAGTAACATTACCATCACTTTCTATGTATTCAAGATTTTGAATATATTGAAATATCGTCTCTTCAGCCCCAGCTCCGGTCAGGACCTTTGCACTGTTAAAATCACCAGTTCATATGAGAAGGATTATGCAACAGGTATCAAAGCAGCAATCTTTTCTCAGAATGGCCTGTAACCTCCTATAGCAACAACTCCATTAGCATTTCAAGAAATGTACATGGAAAAACACTGTATCACATTTCACTCTCCAGAATTATCAAGGGGTTTAGAGAAACTCCTGCTCAACATAATGTAGCTTACTTCACACACTGAATGTATTACAGTGGATTTTCCTACTTAGGACCAGACAATAGCTAGCTCCTAACTCTGTGGTAAAACTTCCTTGATAATTAATATACTTCCACTATGACAGTCATACACAATAGAGCTATCTGAAAAGTGTCTTCTATATCGAGGAACTTATGCAGGAAACCAGTGTGCATGATTTTCCCCAAACAGAGCATCCCGCAGGAAAACCTTACCTGACTAATTTTTGTACAGCATCTCAAGACAAGCTTCTGAAGTTATAAGACCAAATCATTTATTGAACAGATATTTTTTTAAAAATCAGTTTCCATAACAGAAATCAAACCTATGCCTGTCACACGAGAGATTCTGAAGGCAGCACCTATTGAATATTGACAGTTACCTGTGGCACTGAGGAATATGGGCTATGCAAAATGAGTACTGCATTTGTTATAACTGCCTAAGTGGGTGGGAAAGGCCAGACAGGAAAAAAAAAGTAGTTTTAAAACTTATGCTTTTCTTTTGATGATATAACCTCCAGCACCTGGCCTCTCCTCTAGCAACACTTCCAAAGTAATACTGCTCTCTGAAAATAGTCTGAATAAAACGAACACACTTTGTTCCATTTTCAGTCCCCCATGTACTAAACAGGAACAGAGCAGAAATATGCAAGTATGGAAAAAAGTCTCTCAAGCACTTTCTTATTTCAGTCATACCTTAAGGCAAATTTGTAAATTTTAAGGGAATATCTCGAGAATTAAGCATAAAGCTTATGAAACTCTTTTTCTTTGTTGTTTTTGATCAAAGTTAACTTTCTCAGAGAACAGGTATGCACAGCAATAACCCCTCAGAAGTGTCTTACGATAAGACCATGTTAGTGATGTTTATGTAACTTTTACATCTGCACGTATTTCTTAAACTGACATTTGCAGTCTAACTGTACAAGACAAAATTTCAGTAGTTCAGAGCACAGTGTGATGTTATTTCAATGAGTGTAAATGTTGAGGGCAACAAGGTAAAACTACCTCAGTATCTCATTTCCACATAAAACACATGAAAGGAATAACAGAATATGGGATCTTCTCAGAGTCTTATGTCTTTAAAAAAAGGATGCAGCAAAGCCTCCTTTGCAGTTATTCTTGTTGCAGGGTTTAAGTCTAGTAGCTTATCAAGTAAGTCATATGCTTCATCAGGAACCTGATCCCATCCTTTCATGTCAGTTGTCTTAATTTCCAAAGCACCATCACCTTCCTGAAAGCTTTTTCGGTGTTGACTTTGTTTTCCAAGTGTCTCAGGAGCACATGGTTTGTCTGTTGCACATGGCAAAGCTGAGTTGTTTTCAGACCCAATGGGCACTTCTCCCCAAGATCTCTTACAGCCACTGTTTGTTCCTCTCAGCTTTTCACAGAGGGTTCGTAAGTTTTGAGTTGGGACAACTTGGGTACACACAACTGATTTACCTGGTGGACAAAATTGTACAGGTAAGCCACATTTTATTATACTTTCTACGCAGCTGTAAATTCTAAGTTTGTTTCAGAGAATAGAAACACTGTCTCAAGAATTCTAACCAAATGCCAGTAGAAAACATTTAGTTGGCGTATTTCACCTCAAGTAGCCCCGACTTAGTGAAAGGCAGTAGACAGGTTGGGAGAACTATGGCATGAGGCACCCCACATACACATTGTAAAAGACAGAAAGTACAAAAACGTCTTAGAAGTCTGTAAATATAGACTTTTTAGTTTTTACATGCAAAAAGTGTCATTTACTTCCAAAATGACTCTCAGACCTAAAAATATATTTATATACACAAACAAACAAAAAAATCAGATCGTTAAGTCACAGCATTAAATACCATTTTTCCCCTTTTCCCCATAATTAAGGTTTGCATACCAAAAGTTCTAGCAGCCTGAATGGTTTCTCTGGATCCACGGACTGTCATGATTTGCGCCAAAGCAGTTAAATCATCACTCGCTTTGAAAAATGGATACCGTCCACTGAGCAGAGAAAGGAATATGATTCCTGCAGACCACATGTCAATTGCTGCAAAGAAAAGCAAATTTAGTAATAACTAAACTCATGATTTCATCACAAACAAAATCACAATCTTCTTTTAAGAGAAATTATGATCTGAAAAGTTCCTATCAGCAAAAGTTACATTCTGAAGTACTTCTTGATTTTAGTTGCATAGAGACTAAATACTTTAGCAAAGCGTGGAAATTACTATAATTAGATTGAAGAATAAGTTCCCATTTTCATGCAGAGAGAGTGTTTTTCTTGATAAACTTAAAATGTACCAAAACAATGTATAAAGTTGTTTTACCCAGAGAGATGAGATGGGTCAAATGAAATGCCTAGTTTTGAGACCTCTTGAACTTTACTTCATATGAAGAAAATCTTATATGAAAGGTCATAAATGAAAAACAATTCACAAAAAATGTGAATCCGAATTTTTTGGAGACTGAGCAGCACTAAAAAATTTATCTTAATATAAACTTTGTTGCTCTCTAATATGGAATCACTTGACAAGATAGGCAGTTTAAAATCTAATAGGTAGAAGTTATTCATCACTCTCATTGTATTATGAAGAGTACAGAGAGTACTCTGGGGATAGATGCCAAAGCCTGATGGAAACTTTAATACTGAAAGCTACAAGAATACCTGTCTGCCATAATTTTTTTGGCTCACTAAGGTGCACATTTTGAGAGATGGCAAGGTTTAGTGAAGGAGAGTTTGAAGGATTCCCAAACTTTGATGAAAAAAATTAATAGTTGGGAAATAAAGCCATAGTCATTCTACTCCTCTTCAAAAAAATAAGTAGCAAAATAGGCAGTAATTAATTTGGATGCTTTAATTAGAAACACTCAGCACAGGACTTTGATTTTTAAAAAAGTATTAGGTTGACTTCAGTTGCAAAACCAGATTTTACGTCTTTTATTAAAAAATAAAAATCCAAGTTAATCACTTGGCACAATTCATAGTGGAAAAATTTTCTACCTTCTGCACAGTTCCTGTAAAAAAGTTTTAATATTACTGTATCACTGTCAAAAAGATGATACTATCTGTTTGAGGGTTTGTCATCACCCTGAGGATGTGGTTGAGTAAGCTGGAGCAATCAAGCTCAAGACCTCTGAAAAGGTTTAATTATGTAACTCTTGCTGAAATTAACAGGTATTATACATCTGAATGGCTAATAAATCCTGGCCCTACAATTCTGGTAGAGCTGTGATCATTGGCAGACTCCAAGATCCTGTACAATGACATCAAAATCGTGATTCTTTCCTATGCTTTTGTCTTGTGTTAATCTAACTAGTGAGGAAAGGAGAGTAGAGGGACAAACCAAGTGAAAGGGTAATGGACCTGTGTGGCATCAGCTTGGGAGTTTAGCTTGTATTCCCTGCACTGTGAACCTGGGTCTGATGCACTGTGGTAGCTCTGGATAGTCAGCTGGATCCACCTGGTAACTTGGTCTCAGCACAGAGACCAAAACTAGACATCAGATTGGCAGGAATACAAGGAGGAGACTCCAGCAGTCCCAGATGGAAGTGGACAAAAATATTTGTTAGTTCAAATAAAACATAATACCATAAATATTACTATTGGTCTATCCAGTTCTAATTAAGGCCTTTGTTGACATACTACAGGAGCTCAGCACCACTCAGACCTTTCAGCGATGTCAGTGCCACACACAAGGGTTTCCAGATTTACCCCTATTTTCTGTCGTCCTGCTCTCCATTACCCTAGAGAACAGAAAACTGTCTGAAAGCGTGTTTAACACCAGCATGTGTCCAGGATTTCCCAGCTATGTCTTCCTTCTGCCTAAGCTCTGTCTAGACAGATTCAGGGACTGTCTAAACTCGTTCTAGATTTCTGGATGTCTTGTAGCCTATAAAGCTGGCTGTTACAGCACAGGCACAAGAACTCCAAACAAGCTGCCATACCTCTGAAATCCCAGTCATACCCACAACACAGATGTTGTTTCAAGTAACAGTAAGCTATCAAGGCATAGATAGATAAAAGCTGATCAAATGTATTGTTAAGTCTATTTTGAGTATGTATGCACACTTTACTGAAAATTGCCAACTTTCTCAAAAAATATTCAGAAAAAAAGTGGCTGAAAACTGTTATTTTAAATCCAGTTTTTAAGGACATTTGTATTTTTTCATGAGTCAAAACTCCTAGTCATACACCAAATGTGTAATGGGTAACTTTGCTTTTACTGGCTCTCCATCCTTAGGTAGGCATAACCTCTTCCATGTTGCTTGCAACATCTAATGCATTAATCATTCCTCTGCTGTGCCCTGATGTTTACCCAAACTACTGAATCTTATTAACTAGATTTTTACACTGAGAAATTAAAATATTAGTAAGATTATATTTTTACAGACTAGCTATTTAAAGTACTAGTAAAAAGAAAAAATTCTGATAAAAATCAATAAACGATGCTTTCTAGAACACATTTGCAATTATACCATTAACTATACCTGCTATGACAGCAAACTGTATGACAATCTGTCTAGAAAAGTCTAAAGTATGTCCTTTCCCCAAGATTTAGTCAAGATCTTTAAGCCAAAAAACTTGATAAAAATTATGGCTTTTTTTTTTCTTCAATATATTGTATTCCACTCTTGCATGTGGCCCTAGCACTCAAAGGAATAAAGATATATTCAAGTTTCAAACACAGGAAGAATCTTCACGACTTGTTCTTCCTCTTAATAATAAACTTTTAATTAAAATCAGGAAACGCTTGGTAAGGGTTAGAAGGGAAGAAAAAATTAATTTCACATGTTAAAAAAATCCTTCGATAAAAGACAAAATATGCATAAATTAGAAGGATCAAAAGGTGAGAAAAAGCATTTGTTTCAGTCTGTTGTGCAGTACCTGTGGTCTGAGTGGGACACTTTGTTAATACTTCTGGTGCTCTGAATCCAGGTGTTCCTGCCCTGGGAGCAACTTGCTGACGCCTTGTAATAAGAAGCAAACACATTTAGAATATAAATTGTTGATAAATAAGTTCTAATAATGCTTAATATTATTTTTAGAATATACTTGTGTAAGATGTGTTGACAGCCTAATTTGCTTTATTCAAGTTTTATAGAACTTTGAAGCATCTTATCTAGCATGACATTATGTTGCATAAGGCAACAGCCTTATTATATTATCTATTATATTTTTATTATATTATCTAGCATAAGATAGTACCAGAGAAATACTTACTGCATACTTAATTCACAATGACCTTTTTAGTTTCATCCAAGAGCAGCATAATTTTTGTTAAAGTCTTGTTTTCATAGGAAACTTTGACGTTGAAACTAATTATCCAAAGGCAAAAAATGCACGAGGTTTTGAATGTGTATGCTCTGGCTTTGTATTAGTCCAGAGCAAACTAAGGTTAGCTCTTTCTGAGTGCTGACAAGAATTTACTTGTCATTAACTAAAAGCTGCGAAATTATCATTATTTAAAAAATAACATGGGGATAAAAGGCAATAGTAGATCATAATCAAAACTAACTGCAGAGGGACGGAGTTGAACTGAGCTACTAAGATTCTCTAACAGGAGACACTGGCACAGGTTTCCCAGAAAAGCTGTGGATGCCCCTGCCTAGAAGTGTTCAAGGACAGGCTGGATGGGGCTTTGAGCAGCCTGGTCTAGTGAAAGGTGTCCCTGTCCAGTGGCAGGGACTTGGAACTGGATGATCTTTAAATTCCCTTCCAACTCAAACAATTCTGTGATTCTATTAGTTTTTTTAATTAATACGAAATAGTCATGTTTGCTTTTTATTCTACGTTCCATGATTTCCAGAATCCCAACTGTTGGTGTGATTTAGGCCTGTAAGATAACTACTAAGATAGAAAAGACAATATATCAATCTAAGTGTTGTAATTAACTCAAGCGATTTCCTACGATACATGTAGGTGAATAATTAAATACAACAAAAAATCATTAACAGAGGATCTTAGTTGCTGCAGATAGCAGTGAACCAATTATCCCACAAATTCCATGAACTATTCCTGTTTAAAAAGTGCATACTCAGTGTTTTAAGGGTTGAGGAGATCAACCCTATCTTTCACCTACTAAATCAACTGTATAGTAAATCTAAGTTTCTGACTTTGTTTGACAGCAGAGTGGACAATTTTACAAATTTTACAACATTATCAAAGCAAATTACCTTGAAAGGCAAACACTGCAAACTCTGTCCGTTGCATAACAGTCACAGGGCAGGTTTAAGGGACAACCACCAGCAGCTTTCCTGGCTGCCCCATTGCTCACAGTTCTGGTAGAAATAATCTTCTTCTTTGTTACTAACTTCCTAGATGAAACATCTATCACCTTTGCTTGTTTTATGAGCTGCAATGTAGATATTTTAGATAAAGTGACATATTTAAAATATTAAGACTGAACCAATGCTCATGAGCTGCAATTTTAGGATAGAAGACACCAAAACTTTTTTAACAGTATCACAACATCTATAAAACAGACACTGGAGCTTTCCAAATTTCTGATTTCCTCCCCTTCCCCTTCAGAAGACATTTTTCAGTGTTTACTAAAACCCAATATATTCTGAACCTGCAGGACAAGTATTTTTCAAGTTAGTATAACGTTTCAAGAATTTTTTGGGCTCAATATTAGAATAAGAAGTAAAGAATATGAAATGCCACAGCAACACTCAGAAACTAACTCTAATTCTACAATAAAATACTCATTGTTGACAAAACCCTCTAATTTAGTTGGGGTTTCCCCCTTGTCATATTAAAGACAAATGACAAAAAAATAATTACAAGTTTTATCCTCAGCATCAATTGCAAAAGCAAAAAAACAAGTTTCACAAGATAAGTAGAGAGTGTTTGAGCATTGGAACAGACTCCCCAGGGAAGTGGTCACGGCATCAAGCCTGTCTGAGTTCAAGTGTTTGGACAACATTCTCAGGCACATGGTGGGATTCTCAGGGTCTCCTGTGCAGGGTAAGGAGTTGGACTCTATGATCCTGATAGGTCCTTTCCAACTCAGCACATTCTATGATTCTGTGATCAGTTACACAGAAACAGGTATAAGAAAAAAGATTAATTTAGCATCCAAACAAGATCAGCTAGGGAGACAGCTGCATAACTAGTTGTTCAAGAGTTTCAAAAGGGGCTGAAACAGAAATGAAAAAATCTTTAAGCCTTTTAGCAAAGACACACTTAATAATCTGCTCAAAACCTTTTAATTCTGCAGCATCTTGGAGCAGTGTCTAGTCTTAAAGAACCACCAGTTCTATAATTTTCCAAATATGTAACAGATTGATTCTACTGATGAGTCATACTTCTTACTTTGGTACTTGAGTTCTCCTGGTATGTGGAACTATAGACATTGAAATTCCTCTCTCCAAAGACAGAGCGCTGGACAGAATGGTGCACAGAGTCCTCCTGCAATACCAACAAAAAGAACAATAAGGATCCAATCTAACACAGGCAGCTGGATACTGACAATTCAAAAAAAAAAGTGTGAAGTGACATAAAACATGAACAGCTGCAAGTAAGTCATTTTCAGGCGTCAGTTTACTGTGGATGAAGAAAACACGGTCTAGACAGAATAGCAAACATGCTTACAAAACATATCACAGCTCTGAAGTGCCCCAAGACAATGTGAGTGTAGTCTGTACTGCATTTGTTATGCAATAACTAAGTGTAGGTGAATAATTATTGGCTTGGGGAGGAGTTTCACTGCACATGTCCTTTAAAAAAGGATTTAAGGCTGTCTAAATAGTAACCCGTGCTAGGGTTTTATACAGCCTTTGGCACTGAATTATATTTAACAGATAATGATGAAGCCAATACAGTTACATAGGAGTAGCCTCTGTGCATCCCTCTGGAGCCCTGAAAGATGTGCACACACGGCTTCTGTGCAAGTATTGCATCTCCCCCTGTTGGCTGAAGGAATACATTAAATGTATACAACATTAATGAAAGAGTCTGAGAACCTTTCCTCCTCTTCCTTGTTTAATCTGTGCTTTTGAAAGTGAGCTGGACCTTCTATCAGCTGCTTTTGAGGCTGACTGTTGAGGTATCTGTTTAGGTGCCGTGTCACTGACAGAAACCCCATTTCCCAAGGCTACAATGGGATTATTTTGCGAGCAACTTTCCTGCTGGACTTCAGAGTGGGCAGTTTTCAGAAGTTCAATTTTCGTATCAGGGGTTCCTTGTGCCAAGCCAAAATCTACCAAGGCATATCTGAAAGACACAAATTTAGAATCAGGAGTCTCAAATTATCTATCCACCGTTCAATTTACTATTCATTACTTGCTTACTTATCTTTCACATTTTGTTCAATATTTTCCTTACCTGTATTATTGCCAGCATCACAACCTTATTTTCTTCCTTTGCCTTCTATTGTTCCATCTTAACCTATCCCCTCAATGTTTTTTACCCTATACCACTCTTACTTCATTGTTTCTTGTCCCAAAATCTTCTCAGGTGCATACTTTCTTCCATGGTGTTAAAAAAATATTCCCAGCAACTGATTTCTGGGGTTCTAATCCTACAGCTCTAAACCTTCAACCAACAGTAACTTCACTTCTGCAGGATTCCCACGGGCAGAGGACAAATGTAGAAGTGAAGACAGACAAGACTAACAATTGCTGAAATTTTTGACAGACTTCTGGCAAATACTGCTGAAATTTGAGCTTTCAAACAGGTAAGACTACATTAGTTCACACTTCAGATCTGTCTTTAAAAGAATTATTTTTTGCTTCAATCAGCTCAGACACAATCCACTACTCCCTGGGACTCAAACTCAATTCCGTGGCCTCCACACACAAAGCAGAGATTAAGGCTCAAATGCTGGAAAGTGACAAATGCTGTCACAAAGTGACAGTACAAATTCATTTTGACAGGTTTAAAAGAAAAAAAGAACACAGTATTTTTCAAACTTTTAAGCTTGAGGTTTGGCAAAATGCAGTCAAAACTTCCCTACAAACTGTCACTACTCAGAATCATAGAAACATTTAGGCTGGAAAAGACCTCTAAAACTGAGTCCAACTAGTAACCCAGCACTGCCAAGTCCCATGAAATTGTGTCCCTAAGTGCTACATCTACAGGTCTTTTAAATCCCTCTAGGGATAGGGACTCAAACACTTCCCTGGGCAGCCCATTCCAACGTTTGATAACCCTTTTGGTGAAGAAATCTTTCCTAATGTCCAATGTAAGCCTTCCCTGGTGCAACTTGAGGCCTTTTCCTGACATCTTATCCCTTGTTACTTGGGAAAAAAGACCAACATGCACCCTGATAGAACCTCCTTTCAGGTAGTTGTAGAGAGCAATGTCTCCCCTGAGCCTCATTTTTTCCAGGCCAAACCCTCTCAGCTCCCTCAGCTGCTCCTCATCAGACTTGTGCTCAAGACCCTTCAGCAGCTGCAGTGCTTTGCTTTGGAGACACTCCAGCACATCAGTGTCTCAACTGTACAAAGCACGGTACTCACAAATACAGCTCCAGGACTGCTAGCACTGATGTGTTCAGTCCATTTCAGCTCTTCACAAAAAAGCAGTACCTGACTTTTTACAGTCTTTAAATACTGTAACTTGCCGGCAAAAAGCCAACCCTACTAGTTATAAACATTAATTCAATGCAAGGTAAAACAGCCCAAATCCAGCTATCTTACCTGTATCAGTTTTACTCTATCCACTATTAAAAATGTACAAGTATCATTCTATGCACAAAATACAATTAGCTTTCTCTTTAAAAAAAAATACTCGTTCTTATTTGTAAATGTAGTACCTTTACTCAGTAGTAAAATCTTCATTTTTTCAGGTACTTGTTGCTTTGTGAAGCAGATATTATCTTAAATAAATAAAAAAAAAAAGCCTTCCCTCCTTAAATCCCTAAACACTGAAAAAAAAGTTTTACAAATTAAAAAAATAAAAATACCTTTTTTAGCTTTATTACTTAAGCACATGTTATGCAGCTGGCAGGAAAAAAGCCTAAAAGCCTAATTGACTCTGTTCTGCCAAGGCACTCATCCCCAGATGAGATCACAGTATGGCCAGACTTACTTTTTTAGCTGCCTGTTGTAGAGGAAGTTACTGGGCTTGACGTCACGGTGAACAATACCAAAGTGATGAATGCGCCTCAACGCTTTGAACAGGTTAAACATGTATTCCCTCACTTCTTCGAAGGAAAGAGAATTCAGAATGTCCTGAAAGATTATTTGGATACTGTAATCCATAGAATCAGAGAATAATTACAGAATAATTATGGAGCTGCTTTTAATTAAAAGTTTTACTACACATTAAAATACTCACCAAGAAGGATTCATGTTCCAAGTATGGCATAACAATAACCACGTGATCATTTTTCCTAAAGCAATATTTAACTCCCATAACATTATCTTGTCCCCTAGAAGAAAAGTAATGGTACTCAATAAAGACCAGAAGATGGAAGTTTATTTTCATTTCTTCCTTAAAAAATTCAGTCAGGCTTTCTTTTATAATCTTAACTTATATTTTGACAGCAGTCTTATCAGCAATCAGTAGTTGTGCTGTTGCTGCTCATTGCTGTGTTCCATTTGAGTTCTGCAGTTTGCAATAAGGGCTCCACAGATTATTTGTGGAGCTGTGGTTTGTAGTGACTGCTGTAATTCAGTATAGCACCTAACCTTCACGATCCAACTACTTCAAGAAGGTGCTATTCAGAACACTCCGGCAACAAGTATTCATTCCTAAAACCACATTTTTCTAGTGAAGAGATTCTTTTTTCCCAGCATTACAGAACTGGAATTTTTGTTACCACAGAGATAAATCATGGAATTTCTCAGATGGAAAATAGAGCACCCTCTGCAAACTGAGATTAGCAGAAAAGGGCATCCATTACAGGTAAGACACTCCATTTGTTATCTGCTCTTGATAAAAAGAATTTTTGTGTCTGTGGTTAAAAAAAAAAAGCAAGAGAAGTTCCAAAATTTAAAATAAATAAATACAGAACAGTGAGACAACGTTCATCAGTTTAGTCATGACAATAATATTTTGTTTATGTACCCTGCTACTGTGAGGCACTGAAGTTCAGCAGCAATTCGCAGAGGGTGGCTGGTTGGAATCAAGTGTTTTAGAGCCATTTTTTCCTCAAATCCAGTTTGTAGTTGTGCTGTGGCCAAGTAAACAGAACTAAAAGTACCTGTAAACAAGGAAGACAAACACTGTCTTCAACATTTTTAATTAGGTCAGTGCAGCTTTTTACAGAAGTGATGTAACTGTTCACAATCCTGCAGTGTACTTGATACTACATCAAAAGCAGATTCTAGAAGAGAAAAATCCAGTTCCTTTTTTCTACTACTGAATTCCGTGATCTTGTATACAAGTTTTTTATGTCAGTAAAAATGCAAATATAACACTGTCTAACTTGCCTGGGACACAGAGCTCTTTGAATGTAAATTTCCTATCTTTGATTTGCTTTCTTGTTTAGGTAGCTTACTTTCATCTGACATCTAACTCCTCTCTCTACAATGTAAGGGAACTATATAATGCTAATCTGGAAGGCACTGCCTTTGCTATTCAAAGCACTTCTGAAATTGCTACATTTTTTCTTAATTCTGTATCTTGCCTTTAAAGTAAGGCTTCTCACACGATGTGTGACTGTACTGTTTGTTTTCCCAGAGCATTACCCCAAAGAATGTGATAAACTCATTTGAGAAAGGGATTTTTCAGACTTCACAATAAACTTACCCACCCGTTTAATTATAAGGATATCCTAATATACCTCTTAGGAGGTTAATTTATCCTAATGATCTGAGATACCTGAACACACAATTGAAGTGTTCTTCCATATGAATAAAGAATACAAATTACTTTTAATTACATTTTAAGTATTGTGTCTGCATCATGGTAGTTCAAAAGTCTGAGTGAACACATACATCAAAAGGTCAGCAAAAACTCAGAAATACTTTTTGCACTCATTAAAAATCTAGAGACCAATCCCTTCAATATAATTGATTACAGCAAAAAGAGTTATCAAGCTGAAGTAAAACATTATTTTTGGTGGTTAGAACTGCTAAAATGAAAGTGACTCCAGAGTGGAATCCTAAGTTAAAGCTTGTTTTCTCATAATGCTGCCAAACTGCAAGTGGTATTTTTGAAAAGCATTGTTTGTTTGCTCCCAAGAGTAAAATCAGAGTACTATTCATAACCAGAAATTTTGTTAATAACAATATCTTTTGTATGATAAGCAGAACTCCTTTTTCTAATTATTATTGAAATTTTGCATTTCTGTGGGGAATAGAGCTGGGAGGTTTTGATTGTTTTGGGGGTTTTTTGAGACAAAACCTTTCAGCGAGTTCTATCACAACATGGATGCAAAACAATCCAGCTTCTCATCTTTTGTTTTAAAAGTGTGGAATATTACAGATCATTTCAGAGATTAAATGGGTAAAAAGTTCCATAAAGTGCCAAAATCCCACGCCTGACATTAATTGAGGGTATCTGCAACAGTGTCTGTTGAAGGCAAGTTGTACACAGGCATTCTAAAACTCGATACTGAATGTCATCAAAAACTAAGAAAGTTGTTTATTTTTGAAGTAAAGCAGCTCCAACCTTTCAGTTTCCTCCTCCACCTCTGTCCACAGGGTTTTAGTGGAAACAAAGCCAACTTAGGGAACACCAGTTAAGTATGTCAAAACACAGCTACATAAAAATAGATTTCTCACATGAAGAAGAAAAAGAATGGAAGGTTAAGACTTATTTACTTGAATCTACCTAAAAAAAATTTAACTGTCAAAATTGGAGTGTTGTTTTAAAAGGCTTTAATATATTTTCAAGATTTTCATGAAAATACCTTGAAAATGTTCCTAATTAACACACCTATATGCTCAGTTATTAGAATTCCTACAAAGACCAAGTAGCAAGTCAAAAAGGAACTTGGTTTAAACTGCATATATTGGATCTTAGATTTCAAAAAGAAATCTAAGTCTAAGCAAGCTAAACTGAAACACTTACCTTCTCCAATTTTTTCCTTAATTTTGAACACATTTACAAGCTGTGGCACTGCTTCATAAAGTTTTTCAATATCTTTTTTTATTCCTGTGGTGGAAAGAATGGGAAAAATAAGTTAGGAATTTTATTACTTGATCCAATATCTGATGTATACAAATTACACTTTAGTTCATAAGAATTCACATAAACAGAGGAAAAAATAGCACAAAGGTATCTTATCCCTGCTGACATTGCCATCTGCATACTTGATATAATTATTCATCCCACTCCCTTATAAGTTGCAAAGTTTAAAAAATAGTTTTTTACTCATCTGATACCTAGGAGATCCCGAGAGGGTAAAAGCTTTCTGGTTAGTACAACATCTACAGCTCATTGCCAAATGTTTACATGAGATTTGCAATATCACTTTCACACAGCACAAAACTGTAATAGTTGTTTCTGTAAGCACGAGTGCATATCCATCAGAGGCATATCAAAAATACAGAAAAAGAATTATGTTTTATATACTTTTAAGATCAATAATGCAATCTCTCACACCTCCTTAAAATAGTAAACATCAAACCCCATGTTTGGTTTGCATTTAAGTTGCTGCACTTTGTGCTGCAATCACTAGATGGCACGACAAGGATGCTATACTGTATTATTTCAAAAAAATCATCTAGTCTTCCATTCACTTTACAAATTCTTGTACTTTAAGTGTTTTCTATACCCTGCATAAGAATTCACTTCTTTTGAAGCTATCAAGTATGTAGAGGCTGTGACTAATTTCTCTGAAGTAGGGGTAAGAATTATTTTATACAGAACTAAACACAAACTGGTATTTGAAAAGTCAATCAAATAGAAAAATAAGTATACATTTTTCATCCTAAAAATAAATAATAAATTAATAACACTTTTTGGGCTGTTCTGTGCCACCAGTCTAGCAGTCCTAAGGTGTATACTAACAATCATGGACACCTCCCTCAACAGCTTCTATAGAATCTGCCAAATACTCTGTTTTGTCTGACACTGAATTCAGACTCCTGCCTGGACAGAGCTCAGTGCTGTCGGAGCTCTTCCAGCGAGGTGTCAGGCTACAGTACCTACCCAAGGCACTGGGAGCATTTAGGAACTCAACACAGCTGCCTGTGTGAAAGATCCTGAGAAGTTCTAGAAAAAGTCAGTGACTGTCCTTGTTGATAGATAGCAGTACAAACATCACCTGGTCTCTTCTCAGGGCCCAAATAGCCAGTTGGGTATAGAGAACATACAGTCATTGTACCATCAGTGTGTAATAACAGTAATATCCAACATGTTCTGTGAGCAGATTTTAAAGTAATTTCTGAATTTGCCAAGCAAGACCAACACTGTTCAGCATCACTCTATGTAATTCTGAACATGGATGTGCAGGAGACTGACAGAGGACTATCTATTTTAGAAAAATCAGTAGCCATTATATATAAACTGGCTGACCATCTGGGATTACTGAGCAGGAATTGTACATAAAGTCCAGACTCAAGTACATACACAAAGAGACAAACAAATCACTATCAGAACATATGTTCTTAGTTCAGCTTCTACAAAGAAAAAGGAGTGTTTTTATGCACGTAAGCATATCTAAAGATTGAAGGATAAGGCTGGCAATTACAGGTTAAAAGGAAAAATATTGGGTTTGTGCACTTGTCTGATCAGAGTTTTATTCTCTAGGGCTAGCTTTGTTGAATTCCAGTATCCTCTTATAATAACATATTCTATAATAAATAAATAGTAAGTTTAGCAAATTGTGACAAATTGTAACACACAAAAAGCAGGAATAAACTTAAAATCAAAAGCCACCTCAAATGTTTTCATTTCATTAATTCTTTATACACCAGGACCATACACAGACAGGCTTATAATCTATATTGAAACTTCCTGAAGTGATGAAGCAGCACGCCAGCAACAAAATATAATGTTAACAATCCCTATTTCAGCACATACCTGAAAGCTTGCTGTTCTGCTCAAGCTTCCTGTGGAAGTCTTCAGCCTGATGAGGGTGCTGTTCATCACTGTGAGAGTTCAACATCGTCTCCATCTCAAATCTCAAGTAAAAAATCCAAGACTTCGAGGGCCACTTCTGGACACCTGGGGGAGCAAGCATATCTGGTAAGACACTTCCTAGCTCTGCACTCAGTCCCTGAGATGAGATTTAGGGAGTCTGAGGAGTTCCTCTGTGTTACCTAAAACAACAAAGTGTCACCCATCATCCCAGAGAAATACCAAACCAGTAAATCCACGCTGTTTCTAGTAAAAGGGAAGAGGGGGGGGGAAGGGAAGAAAGACTGCAGGATAAGCTTAGATACAAGTGATTTTCTTTCATCTTTCACGTTTCCTCATTCACATTAAAGCATTGTCTTCTCCCTGAAGTTTCCTTTGAAAAGCAAGGAACTCATGCACACAGCAATAGCTGCACTGCACACTGCAAGAGCTGTAGAAAGACAGAAAACCTGAAAGAAATCATATGAGAAAAAAATTATCTTCTCAAAACGAGATTTCTCTCCCTCCTAGATAATCTTAACAAAAGGCATAATTACTTGCTGCCCTTCTACTGTAAAAAGAAAAAACAGCACATGCTTATTTTGAAATGCTTCTTCACAAATATTGGGAATACTACATAAAACTGTAAATTAGTAAAGTGTGCTAATACTGTACAATCAAAAAACCTCTGATAATCGTATTAATTGAGTGAAAGAGTGGCAGGGAGCCCCAGGGCAGAATACCGGTGATAAGTGAGCCTGGAAGCACCACCTCTGACAGTTCCCCACACTAGTTCAACTCAAAAATCTTATTACTTTGCCAAACCTTAAAAGTTCTGGATGAACTTTTCTACACGGGGGAAACATGTTCTGGAAAACTTCCAATGAAAGGATTCATCTGTTTCAGCTATGAGCTGGAAATACATTTTGTCCCCACAGAATTCGAGCTACCTTTAGTCTGTCACCCATGTGCAACAGAACAGGGACAAGGAGCAGCCTCCGATTTGACGGAGCTTTGCTGGAGAGTGGGACTTGGAAACTAATGAAATGAGATTAGAGAGGTTTCTAGTCTCTTACAGACAGACACTCCCTCTGCCAGTGTTGAGCAGGCAGATGAGCCTGTTCCAAACCTGTAACAGCAGGGCCTCACCGCAGCACAAAGAGTGCGAGTTAATACGGACATTAACACAGTAAACCCGTCTGTCTCAAGATAGGCTACAGCCATCCCGTCTCCAGCACTTCAGTTCGCACCGGTGCTGTCACCGCTGCCGGACCAAGGGGAGCGCCCGGGGCTCGTCACCGGCTCTGCGGGACAGCCCCTGACGGCGAGGCAGCGGCCCAAGAGCCCGCCCCGGGGTTCGCCGCCGGCCGCGGGACTCAGGGGCGGCGGCGGCGGGCACAACACGGGACGGGCCCTTCAGCTGCCGCCGCGGGGCCGCCGCTCAGCCCCGCAGGGGAAGAACGGCCTCGGCGGGGCCCGGCCGGCAGCGGAGGGGAGGGGGCGCGCGCAGCAGGTCCCGCAGAGGCGAAGGGGCCGCGTCAGGGCGGGTCGTGCCGGGCCCGTCCCCGCGGAGGGGCCGCTCCAGCCCCGGGGCCGCCACGGCCGGGACGGGGGCTCGCGCGGGCGGGGGTCGCGCGGGGCGGGGGTCGCGCGCTCGCGGGCACTCACGTGGACGGTGGCGCGCGCCGCGCCGGTGTTTTGCCGCTGCCGCCCTTTCGCCGCGCGCGCGCCGCCGCCAATCCCGGCCCTCGGCGGAAGCCGCGGCCCCGGCCAATGGCGGCGCCGCGCGGGGAAAGGCGCGCTGCGATTGGCCAAACGCCGGGGAAGGGCCCGCCTCCAGCGGCGGGGCGGGGGCGGGGCCCGGCGCGAGGTCCCGCTGCCCCCCTGTGCGGGCCCGGCGGGGCGGGGCGGGGTGCGCTGGCGGTGTTCGGGCCCCCTGCAACACACCTCGCCCCTTACATCTTCTTTTTTGCTCGTGGTTATGGTTACAGTCCCCAATAAGATCTTGTCCTCGTTAGCTCCGCTGTGAGCTCGGTCAAACAGCCCAGAGGCCGTGGAGCGGCCTCGCTCACACCGTAACAACGGGGCAACAGCTTGGCTTGCAGCTTTGCCTCAGTACCTGATTACACAACTTGTGTAATCGCACAGAATGCCAATTGAATTGGCATCTTGGCTCTGGTCTGTGCTGTAACCATTGACCAGCAGTGAGCAGGACTAGGAAATTCAGTGGAATAACGTTTTGCTGATGTTTGAAGTAGTTGGTTTTTACCAAAACCAATGCAGTTGTCTGTCTGTAAATATAAGAATCTAGCACTTTTTGTCTGTTATCCATTTTGGTCAATTTTTAAGGTAAAATAACATTGCTCCTGTTAAAAGAGTAGCTCCTCTTCACATGCTAATGCATAGATCTCTTGTTTATTAGAATATGAACTAAAATGCTCTTGTTTATTGCATACCTTAGGTAGGGATCTGTAACTGCAGCCCTTAGTAAATAACCAAACCTGAGGTGGACAAAGTTCCCAAGGCAACGTTTTAATATGGTTTTACATTATAACAAGCTGTGCTTACACTAACAAATTGTTAAAAGTAGAAACAGGTTCCACCACTTTTGCTAATTTGTGTTTCCTGTTATACAGTCTAAAAGGAGAGTGCAGAAACAAGTTGCTGAGCTGCTTTGGTGGTTTTCAGCAGTTTGGTTTGATGTGTGGGGTTTTCATTCCCAGCAGTTGTTCTAATTTGGACTTTCTGTTCAGGGCTCTAATAAGCTAGGGCAGCAGTTTGACATTAAGCAAAGTTAAGTAAGCTAGCTCAATAATTTCCGTTAAAGGTGACAGTATTTAAAAGCAGATTTTATTAAACATTAATTAAATGAGGGGTAATGACAAAATAATGTAGACCAAATTCTATTCTTTCTCTGTTTAAGGCAGAAGTTCAGTCAAATTCACTATGACTCATATCAATATGTTCTCAAAAGTCACTTCTTCAATGTCTTTCTCCATATACATCTTCCTGGGAGAGTGACAGATGATGTGTAGCATTTCCACTACATTTCCTCAGTACTCGCTTAAATATCTCCAGCCTAATTTGCTTCATTTTGAATTAATGTAGAATAGGTAAAGACACAGCTTCTGATTTGCTTCTGCACAACTTCTGTGCCTTTCCTATAGCATGAGACACTCATCTTTCCTGTTGGCTTGGATTAGCAGAAACTCCTTCACTCTTAGGGTGAAGAAGGCTCTACCTTATCATTCAACACTGAGCGTGCAGTTCTAACAATGCACCACGGTAGGAACTTCTCAGAAGGAAAGACAAGAAATTGCATCAACAAATATGACAAACAAAGCAGCACATCTAATGCTCTGCAAGCCAAACTGCAGCATTGTCTTCTCTAGTGGCTTTATCTCTAGGTTGGATATGAAGGATGAGAAGCCAAATGACAATACAGGCCCATGTGGAACATTCCTTATGGCTGACAAACCATCACCAAAGCCCACCTCTGGGAGCTCGCCAGGAAAGGATCCAAACACTGCTGTGTGATTGCATCCACTGCTGCCAGAATCTGCAGCTGAATCAAACTTTTTGTATCTGCTGTCAGGCCTAAAAGAATCTGCGCTGACAGTAGAGCACATCTATTCACCTCTTCCTAGGTCAAATAAACTAGAAGTCTCCATGTGTTTGAACTGTCTTCCAGCCTTGAAAAACTGATAAGCAAGGTCCAGGAAGGTAACTGATGAATGTATCCAGCACAAACAGAGGTAGGAGATCCTTAACGTCCCTTTGCTGCCGAGAACATCTGTTCATAAATTAGAAACCAGAAACTACTTAGAAATGAGCAAATAAAAGTATATTTAAAGACAGTATTAAAAATATATGTACAAATATACATATATACAAAATTCAATTTTAATGACAGTAGAGACTGTTAAGTGTACTATTCAGTTTTCATTAGCCTGAATGTCACATGCTTTCCAACTTTTAATTACTCTTTCTGTTAGCACTATGATTCTATGGCAAAATTTTGCTCTCTTTGGCACCAGGTTGAGACAAATCTCTTCATGCTATTGTGCCCTTTAGGAATACTGTCAAATTCAATCATTCAGGACTCATGAGTCTTACACTAACATGAAGAGATTGATTTGGAAACCATGGGACTAAGGTCCTTTTTCCTTTTTTTCATTTTCCATTTCCATTCCTTAACCAGGAAAGCTGAGACTACCAGCTTTGCTCTCACATGCAAATGAGCATGGCCCCAGATTAATGCTCTTGGATGTGGCAGTGACTGTGTCTGCCAGCATTTTCTGATCAGTTATATCTGAAATATCAAGAATTATTGTGATGTCAGAAAAAATACCACAATATAGCAGTCTCTACAGCCCATTTAAAGGCAGTTAAAAATAGATATAAAAATTACTTCAGGCAAAAATACAGAGGAATTCTTGACCTTTAGTAAACTGGGTCTCATTCAAACAATGTATGTTTTAATAAAATCTATCAATATATATCTAATAAGGAATGTAGGCTCTCCTACACAATGGAAAAGTTTAAAAAGGACAAGCTGAGGAAGCTGATGAGTAGCAGAAAGGGTTTGTGCAAACCTTGACTTATAGACAGAGCACAGCTGTAATGGTGATAATTTTTACCTGTATGTGCAGAGTTCTGATAGTTGTTGAGCCAGTTTTGATACTCACATTGCGAGATGGATACTGAAAAAAATGAAGTGAGTGTAGAGAAGAGCTATGGAATGATCTGAAGTCAGAGGAAATGCCATGTAATTGAAGAATTAAAAATCTTAAGCTACTCACTGAATCAAAGAGATTGAAAGGTGAATTGATAACAATGTATACATATATGCACAGGAAAAATATTGAATATAAGGGCCACTTGAACCTACCAAATAGGAAGGAGTAATGTCTAGCAGCTGGAATTAAGCAAAATAAAATAGTGGACTGTTCAGTACCTAGTTCAGTACCACTGATAACAAATAATCCTTGGAATAGTCAAGGGCTGTGGTTGATTCCTTGGCTCTCTATTTTCAAGTTGGGACTCAATGCCTCCCTGAAAAATGCAGGCTAGCCAAACACAGGCT